GCGTCTTTAAGTACATGACACATTCACCGAACTCAGGAATTTGTTTGTTAAACTTTCTCCCCCTGCATCTTTCATGGGCTGTCTTTCCATCCGTATCTATCGTGAATTTGTTAATCAGAGAAGACGCATAGCTTACCAGCCATGGTATAATCGTATGACTTTCACTGAACTCGGTCTTGTAATTGGCATCCAAAGCGCTCTTTAATGTTCTGACTTGCCCTTGCACCGTTCTAACTGCTCTCTCAATTTCACCGTTGGCCTTTGAGTCGCCTACAGGACTGACTTCAACACTCATGTCGAGGTCACGCGACGCTTTAATCCTGTTGGCCAGCGCCGTAATTGCCGCTTCTCCATCACTTTTAAGTATAACCTTCTTATATCCGGTAAAGCCGATCATGTCACATCCCACTTTTACTGAGTATGAATCCACTCCTTTCTTCAACAACACTCGGCTCCACGTTAATTTGGTTCCCCTGCAATGCATGACCAGAATTGGGTTGCCATTGCTAGCACTTTCGCCTTCTTCCTTTCTCCCTTTAAGCCACATGTAATCCATTGAAATTACTGGTGCACCTCCGTTCCTTTCCCTTTTTACGTATCCTGTGATTGCGCCTACGCGCTTTGCCTCTAACGCAATGCGGGCACCAGCTTCGGTAAGGTAAATGCGTTGTATTGTGCGCCTCAACTTCCTCCCTTGACGGTCTCATGTCACAGTGAACTTTCTTCGGTAACTCTGCTTCGTCACTTGCAAACACGTCTTCTACGTCACTCAACTCACTTTCGCTGCCCCCACTTTCACTCCCTTCGCCCTCTTCGGCGTTAAAGACGTTTAAGTTTTCGCTTGGTCTCACGGGTAATGAGGGGCTTAGTAGAACAGGTCCGCCTCGAGGGTTCCCGGCCGCGGAAAACCCTCAGCTGCGTTTACTTCACTCTTGGGCTTGACAGCCTCCACTGGTCCCTTCGGCACCATGATGTTAAACTGAAACGTGCCGTTCTTCTCGTGGATGGTTGTGCATTTACCCGTGGCCTTATTCATAATATGACTCAGGGATCTCCCGTTAAGGTCCTTGTCAAACACAACTCTGTTTCCAGCGTTTACCATTTCTCTGACAGATCCCAGAACTTTGTTGACTTCCGCCACTTGAATTGGCACGCTGACTGAGTTTCCATGTTCATTCTTGCCGGTGACTACTCGCTGCCCGTAATTCTTTATCGTCGTTCCGTTTGCTGCACTGTAGTGTCTTCCCTGCTTTGACGCATCTGTTTGTTTAATGGGGAAGTAGGTGCCTATTCTTGGGGGTCCTACCGTGTTATACGCTCCAGAGTCCACGGTAACCACGATTGTTTCATGCGTTGTACTCTGAGGTGGCACCGCGTTAATTTCTGGATCACAGTCTCGCATCTCGATTAGCCCAATCTCTCCACATTTCTCCAACCAACCCTTTTCCTGTTTTATACTTTTACTTATCCTCTGGTCCCATTGATTCACATGATTGTAGTTCCCGTTACGCTGATGCTCCTGGTAGGCTTTTCTCAGGTCCACTGCGACTTTACGCGCCATTTTCTTTCTGGAATGTGAGGGCAGTGCCCATTGTCCGTTAATCTCCTCAGCTGTGAGCTGTTCCGGTGGCACGTTCACTTCATCATTCATTTCAACGCTGAGCACATGCTGCGGTTGGCCAAACGAGGTGGTTTGTTCACTTTCCGTGTTCACCGTTGGTCTCTCTTGCTCAACTTCGTTGGCGGTCTTCTTGGGGCCCGGGCAGTTAACGGCAATGTGCCCTTTAGCTCCGCACTTGTAGCACTCGCGCTCGCTGTGGGGGGTAAATCTTCCTTGGCCACCGTAACTTCCACCCCGCGAGCCGCCCCCTTTACCACCTTGTTTGCCTCCAATCTTACCTTTCATGTAGGATCCATAGGTGGCGCGGTAACCTTTGTCTTTGCCGCCTTTGCCACCTTTGCCTCCTTTCGTGAACTGTTTAGGCTTTGTGCAGTTCCTGGCTAAATGACCCATGCCTCCGCAATTGTAACATTTGGGGCCTGAGCCTTTACCTTTACCCCTGTTTACGGCGTCGACTTCTTCATGATCTCCACTGTCGCTTTCATTAGCCCAGGACCCGTAACTCCAAGATCCGTCCTCTGGCCACCAATTTCCGTCTTCGTCAACCCATCCTGTCTGATCCCAGACATTTTCGGACCCTTGACTCGTCTCGTTAATATTTCCAATGTCCATCGCATCTTTATTCTTAGTGTCTGAGTCGAGTTTCTTTTTACGCGCCCAATCTTCACACTTCGAGTATAACTTCTGGAATGAGTCAATGTTAAGTGCGTCGGGCGTCCGCCAGCACGCCTGCTGCCACTCGTCAAACCAATCATTCGCGTGCACCATTATTGCCTTGAGCGCGGTAACCTTAAAGGGGAGGGGCAGTGAGTAATCCTTGCCATACTTTTCAAGATTCTCCGCTAACGCGCTCCACTCTTCAAGTCGGGTAACGGTGTCGGTAATTTTCTTGGGCGGCTCAGGGTTCATGGCGTGCGTCATCTTTGAGGAAAGGGTCGCTCCGGTAACAGCCGAGTACCATTTGTAAACCTTTTGCCAAGCCATAATTCCGTCACCATCCATGAGTCCCTTTAATTTTCCCCTTGCTTCTGCACCTTCGAGCTTTTCGTTAAGGATGTACCATAAGTCTTCCTCCATTTGAGTTTTGTCTCCCTCGGTAAACTCATAATCTCCTTTGTTGTCATCCTCTGCTTGTTTAGCTTGGTTTGCCTTTAAGTATTCGCTTGCTGTTAACCGACCGTTCATAATGCGTATGATATCATCATCATCTTCCTCTGGGACAACTCCGTCGAGTGTCTCCAACTTCTTGTTCAACATTTTCAGTGCCGGTCGGTAGCTCGGTTTTACTTGGGCCAGCGCGTTTAAGAACTTGTCGTTCCAGTCTCTGAACTTTGCTCTTTCTCCACTGAAGTTCTTTAACGCCTGTAATGCTTTGTACTCGCTTATCGGTTTACCGCTCCCGTGCTTACTTCCGCTTCCGCCTTTGATTGCTTCCGAAAGTTGACCATTTTTTCAATTAGCTTCTCTTGTACTTCGCTGTTGGTCTCCAACTCGGTGACTCTTTCTACCAACCTGCGAGCATCCCTTTCAAGCGCAGCGCTTCTCTTCGTTATCGCTAACAACATGATGTTGGTCTTCTGAGCGCTCTGTAACATTTGAAATGCCTCAGCGTTTGACACTTCCCTTCGGTCCTGTGTCACTCGCTCATTAATGAACGTCGCAAGTCCATAATGATTTGCAAGTAACGCCGTCTGAACGTAACTGAAGTCCCCGTTCAGGTACGCCTGCTCGCACAGGTCGTTGAAGCGGTTAGGGTCCATGTTGACCCATGCATCTCTGTCCGCCGGCACATTAAGGTTGACTGGCGGGTCGCCCTGCGCGGGCCTAGCTGCAGCGGCCGCCGCCGCCGCCATGGCAACCGCGCTCCGCTAACATGCAAAACCCCGAGGAGGGTTCTGCACGGGAGCCCGGTGACAGCGATGACGATCGGTCACCTTTTTACTCCCGCACGGCGAAGCGAGTCTCGGTGGCTTCAGCCGTTAAACACTTGAGCCAAAGGTAACAGGGTCACCTTCCCTCCCCAGTCACCTGAACGCTTACATGTTAACACGTCCTCCTCCTCCTCCTCCTCCTCCTCCTCCTCGTCCTCATCCTCCTCCGCCTCCTCCTCCTCCTGTTTCCCCCTCCTCCTGTTTCCTCCTCCTCCTCCTCCGCCCTCTTGTTCCCCCTCCTCCTGTTTCCTCCTCCTCCTCCTCCTCCTCCGCCTCCTCCTCCTCCTCCTTCTCCTCCTCCTCCTCCGCCTCCTCCTCCTCCTGTTTCCTCCTCCTCCTCCGCCTCCTCCTCCTCCGCCTCCTCCTCCTCGTCCTCGTCCTCATCCTCCATGGGTGCTCGGAGGTCTGCACTCCCGCCCTGCCCTGAGCCGACCCCCCTCCGACGCCGCCCCCGCTCTGCGCCCCCCCCAACCGCCGGAGCGAGAGGGCGGCGCGTGCCCCACCTCTTCCACAGACCGACGTCGCGTGTTATGTGCAACATGGCTCCCCACCTCCTCCTCCTCCTCCTCTCCTCCTCCTCCTCCTCCTCCTCCGCCTCCGCCTCCTCCTCCTCCTCCTCCTCCTCCTCCCTTCTCCTCCTCCTCCTCCCTCCTCCCTCCTCCCTCCTCCCTCCTCCCTCCCTCCTCCCCCCTCCTCCCTCCTCCAAAGGTCTGGGCCTCTTCCTGGCGACCTGCTTCTCATCCCGGGCCGATGCGGGATGGCCTGGGGCCTGGTGAGGGACCCCCGAGGCCGACAGCTGCCAAAAACCGTCCGTCATGATTTTCCACGGCGCGCGAGAATGTTGGAGCCAAGTGGCGTCCGGCCCTCCACCCTACAAGTGTCCGCCCCACCCGCCCCCGGCCCAGGCAGACACCGAAGCCATGGTGGCGCTCCGCCCCTTCAGCAAGTGGAGCTCATGCTCCGCTGGCTCTGCAGCGTGTCCTGCTTGCTCACCGTGGGCAGGCTCTGCAGCAGGCTCAGCGTCGGCGCCATGGCAAGGAACCCATCATTGCTATGGTGGCTTCGCTGGCTCCCAGGGCGCGCTGGATGTTCAGTCACGTCTCTCACGCCAGTGCTACATCCATAACCGTTGCCCTCTGCGCCATGACGCGGAGTAGCATCCGTTCCCCCCCAGGCGTCCCGACTGGTCAGTATGTCCAAGATATTGACCATGTTATGCATCATCCACTCGCTCTGGTACTGCAACTTCATGACGTCTAGAGTCTTGGCTTCCCCCTTCAGGCGGAAGCAGCCGAGCAAAAACTCTTCTACATTGATGAAGCCTTTCCGATCGCGATCCAGCAACAGGAACAACGTGCGTACGTCTGTCACCTCCAAATCCAATGCGTGGAAGCTGCTCACCAGGCGGCCGTTCGCGTCAAGCAGGGCCTCGTGCATGCTCTCAAAGGTCACAGTGCCGTGGCCGCCTGGATCCAACTCGTCGAAGAGCTCGCGCAACCTTCTGATGCTGGTGATTCTTTTCTCGGTCGCCTCTTGCTCCTGCGAGGCCTTGTCGTTGCGCGCCCAGTGGTTCGCGATCTCCACAAAAATCCGCCACCGCACCCCCTGGCACGTTGAGCGGTGCTGGACTGTGAAAGGAGTGTCTAGTAAAGCTTTTGGGATCTTCTACTGACTACCTACCAGACCACCCCAACCCAACCAGACGACCCGAATTTCGGGTTGGGGGGGTAAGGGTTCCACATGTGTTTTTTCGATGTTTCCCGACACCCCCCACTGGAAATCGAGGGTAAATCTGAGCCTTCGGGTTGGGATGGGGTGGTTTGGTGGGTGGTGATCTACGGGATGACCCCGCACTGCTCTCGCAGCGGCCTGCGTGCACCGCCCCCCCCTCCCGAGGCCACGGTCCTGCGCAGAAGGCAGTGGCTCCGGGAACCCCGAGGCCACGATCCCTGGCAAAAGCCAGTGGGTGCGCGCCTTCGAGAGTCCGAGACGGCCGATGCGGGCAACCAAGGCCGCCAAAATGGCCCAGGATACCTTCAACCCAAAATGGCCCCAGGGCGGCGGAAACTGGCGCCAAGACGGCCCAGAACGCGGCCCAAGAGGGCCACACTAGGACCCGCAGCAGGGTTGCAGAAGACACCCACACCATGGATTCGACCTGAGGTTTTGAAGGATCTGGGCGTCTGCACCTTTTCAGGCGTCAGCGCTCGACGGCCCTAGAGGGGTCCAAGTTCACCCCAAGACAACCCAAGAAAGCCCACAAATGTGTCATCAACCCGTAAAGGCACCCTCACAGCAGCCTGAGAGGGACCGTAGACAGGCCAATACGGCCCCAATATGGTCCAAAACTTACCCAAGAGGATATCCGGAGGAACACGAATCAACCTTAAAGAGCCCTTCGATGGCCCAAGGCGCACGACGGCAGCAAGAGTCCCCCCAGACGGTCAACAGAGGGCAGCAAGACTGCCCACGAGAGCCCACAGACTGTTCAAAGTAGCCAAAGTCCAACAACAACTGCTTAACCCAACCTCGAAACAACCCCCAAATGGTCCAACTGAGGTCTATGAGGCGTCCTCGCGCAGTGAGGACGGGAGGAGACACCTATGACGGCCGTCCTCTTCTTCCTCCTCCCCTCATCGTCGTTGCATTCACTGCCATCATCCCCACCATCATCACAACTACCACATCATCATCAGCACCACCACCACCGCCATCATCATCAGCAGCAGCATCATCATCTTCATCATCATCAGCATCATCATCACCTTCATCATTGGCACAACCATCATCGTCGTGGTCACCTTCGTCGCCATCACCATCATCATCGTCATATCATCAACATCACCATCACCACCTGCATCCGCATCATCGCGCCTCTACCAAACTCGTCATCACCATCGTCATCGTCACCAAAAGTAATCACCATCACTCTCTCTACCACCTTCGTCTGCCACAACCGCCCTCCTCATAATTTCCGCATCCTTCTCCTCATCATATTTCTCCTCCTCACCGACACCCGACATGCAATTCCAAAACCAGCACGGCGCGGAAGAGCACGTCACATGCTACGGCACTCCATCCGCCTCCGCCTCCATGCTACGGGCACTACGGTGTCGCCACCGTAGTGCCTGTAGCCTCGTCGCGGGGCGTCCTGCCGATCATTATTGGCACGGTAGCGGAACTCTGCCGCAGGCAGCCACATGCCGGTGACCACATTTGCTGCACCGAAGATGGCGAAGAGGACATAGAACAAGAATACACACTTGCAGTGGACAGCAAGTGGCGCCAACGCCTCGAAGAGTTCCCCCCAGTTGATGCCACCAGACATCGCCTGAAACAGCGAAAGCGCGGTGCATTCGAGAGTCCCAAAGTAAGATCGCAACTCTGCGCTCGACTCGTCGTCCCACGAATCCTGCTCCTTGAGTGCCTCGATCGCCCCCTGAGTCAAGATTAGCCCGAACACGTAGAACATGCCCATGAGGACGGTGGAGGCCCAGAGAAGCGGCCGCAACGAGAACATGATGGACTGGATCATGATCCTAGGGAGGAATAAAAACGTAAAACACATGTTAGCCAGCGTGGGCCCCAAACAGTGACCTTCTAGCTCAATGCGATGTGCATTCTGTGTGGAGCAGTTTGTGTCGTGCAGTGCATGACGTGTAACTCATGCGGTTTAGCCTATGTTGTGTCATCTATGGTGTGCCATACTTGTGGTGCATTCTCGATGTGGTAGAAAAAGTATGCGGTGCACTCGACGTTGTGAAGTATATGTGGTGCAATATCGGTTGTGCGCTATACGTGTAATATGTATGATGCATTCTATGCGGCGCAGCCTGTTGGTGCAACCTGTGTTGTGCACTATGTGTTGTTTGTTCCATCTATGTGATACAATCTATGGAATCCAATCTACATGGTGAAATCTATGTGGTGCTTTGTATGCGGTGCTACCTACGTTGTGCAAATTAGGCGGCGACGGGGCGGCGAAGGAGACAACATAGCCGCCAGACCGATAATCAGGCCCAGACGACGGGTGGAGACGAGGCGGCGACGGGGCGGCGACGGCGACACCATACCCGCCAGACCGACAATCAGGCCCAGACGACAGGTGGCGACGAAGCGGCGAGGAGGCGGCGACGGTAACATCATAACCGCCAGACCGACAATGAGGCTCCCAGTTCTTCAGAACCGAATTAAGAGCCCCTAAGTGCAAGAACTATTTTGGGAATAAGTTTTCGGACCCCCGCGCGGACTTCTCGAATCGGCGCTGGAACCCCTTCCCCGGCGCGCTGGACCCCCAAGGGCGGCGCCAGAGGCGCCGCCGTGGGAGGCCCGATCGCCGATCTCAAACATCTGCGAGAAGCTCCGAATTCTATAGTTATGCCATTCTTCACAACGTCGACCCCAGGAGGTCTCACCCCACTGGAACCGGCTTCTCATCCTGAGTCGGATTTTGACGGCCAACAGCGTGATTGCTTCACGACGCAAAGGGGTCTGGTTCTTCCCGACTATCCTGTGGCGCTCGATCCTCGTTTTGAAGAGACAGCGCCCCGCGTATCCTGCCTCTCCTCCTCCCCCTTCCCACCTCCTCTCATCATACCATCCGTGCCTCTGCCCTCCGCATGTCTCTGTTTCGGCACCCTCACACGCTTCGTGGCGGGAGCCCCACCGAAGGCACAAATGGCAGCGCCCGCATGGCGCCGCCACCCCATCTTGCCACACCCCTCGCACGCTTCGTGGCCCCATAGAGAGCCCCACCGAAGGCCAAAATGGCAGCGCCAGCGTGGCGCCGCCGCCCCCTTGTGGCACACCCTTTACACGCTTCGCGGCCCCATGCAAATCGCAGCGCCAGCGTGGCGCCGCCGCCCCATTGTGGCACACCCTTCGCACGCTTCGCAGCCCCGGCTCCACCGAAGGCCCAAATTGCAGCGCCAGCGTGGCGCCGCCGCCCTATTTTGGCACACCCCTTACGCATCTTGCAGCCTCGTAGGAAGCTCCACGGAAGTCCCAAATTGCAGCGCCCGCATGGCGCCGCCGCTCCATTTGGGCACACTCCTCTCCTCACACGCTTCGTGGCCCACACATGGGGGCTCCACCGAAAGCCCAAGCGGCAGCGTCCGCATGACGCCGCCGCTTCGACTTCGGCACACCCACCACGCCTGACGCAGCCCCGTAGGAAGCCCCACCGAAGACCCAAGTGGCAGCGCGCGTCAGGCAGCGGCCCGCCCGTTTCGGTCACACGTCCGTGTCCCCTCGCACGTTACGTGGCCTGGGCATATGGAGCTTTCCCCTTCTTCCCACCTGCCCTGCGGCAGTCACACCTGCATATGGTTGTGCCCTTGGCAAGCCAAATGTTTTGTTCCTCGAGGTCCGTAGCTGCATGAAGAACTTCAACTGCCTGACCGAGCGGAGGAACCTGACGACCCGGAGGACCCGGAGAACTCGGAGGACCTGCCCCTGCGACCACAACGACGACTCGGTCGCCGGCCGGGACACACTCACGAAGAAATCCAGGAGCATCAATGCCACGACGGAGACGTCGAAGAAGTTCCAGGACGCCTCGCTACCGGTGCAGAATGACCAGCTCATGGCGTAGACCTTCACTGCCAACTCCAGGACGAATACGGCGCAGAATACTGCCTCGATCTCCAGGGACTTCTGCAGCTGCCGCCGGGTGTATGCCTCGTACTCCACCTGATAGCCCAGGAAGACAGAATTGGCCATGATCAACAACATCACGCAAACCTCGTACCCTGTACTGCTCACAAGCTCCCTGACCTGCAATTGCTTCGGGGACGGGCCAGCGTCAAATCGGGAAAGCCACTTCCGGACTGACCATGGCAAGCGCGACGCAATATAACTGCACGGACATGCACCCGAATAGGAGTTATGGCCTGACGACGTTGAGCGCCAAAACTGCTTCAGGTCGTAGGAGCGCACTGTGTCGTGCTTGATCATGTCCATGGCGGCAGTCGCCACCGTCTGAGATGCCGCTGGTGCCATCGACCGGTTGCTGCCAACGAAGATGGACCGCGGAGTAGACCACATGGACACCGTGGACCTCTTGGGGGCGACCATGGGCAATGCCCCTGCTGGCTGAGAATGGCCCTCGCCACGCTCCTCTACAAACCGCAGGGGCTGCCGGCCTCGCACTGCTTCGCCAAGGCTGCCCACGTTGGCGGGTGAGTCTGGTCTGCCGTCTGGCGCCCGCGGCCCAGACTGCTGTGCAGCGCCCGACGTGGAGACGCCGCCGCTTCCGACAGAGGTCTGTCCTTGCAAGCAGCCCGCGGACAGCGCCCGTCGCGGCGTTTCCTGCGGCTCCAGCGCCACCGGCGGCGGCTGCTCCGCGGGGTGCTCCGCCACGGGGGGGCACGGCTTGTTGCAGACCTCCACGGCGGCGGGCGAGCGTGGCGCCACGGCGGCCTCCGTCGGTGGCCCCGCCTGCTGCGCGCTGGCCGGCGTGCAGTCGGTGCAGCTGCCGGCGGAGGACGTGCTGAGGAATAGGCCCGGACGACGCGTGCACCACGGTCTCTCCGGCGGCGCCGTCGCCGCCAGCTGGGGCTGCTTCGCGATGCGCTCCGCTGCAGGGGCGCGCAGCTTCCTCTCTGGGCTTGCCCTCCTGTGCGAGGGGGAGTCGCCCATGCGAACCCGGACGAGCGCCTCTGGGATGCCAGAGAACGGCAGGATCACATGAGGTTCGGGAGCTCCGCCGGGATCTCTCGGGTCGGCGCTGGACAACTTCGCACCCCGACGCGCGAAGAGCGCCAGGTGCGGCGCCTCAGGCGCAGCAAGGGACGGGGTCCAGCGCCGACCCATGAAATCCGCGCGAACCTCCGAGATTTCACGATCGCAGCCATCATGATGCCAGGATTGACGCCGAATAAGAAACTACGGGGCTCTCCAAGCCACGGCGAGCCTCGGCCACGGATGGCCCCCGACCCGATTCATCCAAGCAGCGACCTGACAGTCAGAGCCCCTGCCGAACCCAAGGCGGCGCTTATGTCAGCGCGTGTAGGGTACTGTCTCCAAGCGAACGCGCAGGAGGGGAAGGATAATGCGGGATGACGATTAATAAAATAATAGGAGAGAACGATTAATAACATTGTTGTCTGCTATTTCTGCACAATTTTCTGACTGGGAAGAGAACGAGTAAAAAACCAGTTTTCCAGCTCGCGGCCGATTTTTTCTAATCGTCATCCCGGGCGCCGCCGCGTGAACACGACCCCCGGTCATTTATTAACCGTCATCCTCCATTACACAACTTGGCTCCCTGCCACCAAACAAAGATTGTTCGAGAGGACGATTAACGTGGATTATCTCACCGACGACGCCGACGCCCGTGAGCAGGCATGGAACCCAATGTATTCATCATCATCGCTCAGAGCGTTGCTCTGCGTGACGGCCACCCGGAGCACCTCTTAGTCGCCACCCTTCGCTACGGTTAGGAACTTCTCCTTGGCGCGTCGCGGCGGCGGCCCCTGCATCACGCTGTGCCCCGCGAGCTCACAGCGCGTCGCTCCGCTCTGTGGGACGGGAGGCCGAGAACAGCTCGGAACGTTCATGCGTGGGGACTGGGACATGAGGACAGTCAACGTATCCCATTGACGATCACGACACCTGTGAGCAGGTCTGGAACCCAACTCATTCATCATCGCCCAGGGCGCCAGTGCGTGACGGCCCCCCTGGGAATGATTCTTCTTCGTCATCCTGCATACTACTAGGTGGGGGCCGCCCATGTGAGGTCGAAGTATACGGGGTCGGAGCATCGCCCCGCATCGCGCGAGGCGGCGCGATCCACCGACCCCATCTACCCAGATGATGTGTTATTGCAATATGCGCCCCAAGGGGTCCCGACCCCTTCCCCTTGCTTACTTACTCTTTCACGACATGCCTGTAGCAGCATTTGGCTCGGGGTTCTCACCGCGCACCAGGCCCGCGCGCAGCCACAGCGGTCTGCGTGCCCATTTGAGTAGTTCTCAGGTGGCGAGCCGAAACACGTGTTAACGCATCGTGCGTTTTGGCGTCGCTGTCATCGCATCGCCGGGGGCAAGTTCGTCCAGGAACAATTCCCGGAGCGAAGAAAACTGAGCACCGACCTCCCTTGGGCGGCCTAGAACTGCTGCTCGTGCTTCTTGGGGCCCCTGTGCGCGGCGCTCTCCGGACAGCGAACCCGCTCGCTCGGGGGAGGGGGGGGGGGCGGGCCACTGGGCCCCTTGTCGGCGCTGCGCGGGCGATTGGTGGCCAATCCCCCCTTTCCTTCCTCCTCCTCCATGCCCTCATCGGGCTTGACGGTATCTTGCAGGAAAGGCCGAAATCGGAAGGCGCGCCGGCTCTAGACGGTCCACTTCCGCGGGAGCAGCCCGTGTCGAGATGGAAGAACAGACGCCCAAGACCAAAGACACCTAAGAGTACAAATACTGTCTCGGATCCAGCGATTGAGGCTGGTACTCCAGACGTCCGGCGCGTGCTTTCCATGTAGCCCCCCAAGGGTCTGGACCCCTTCCTGCAGTCTAGACTATCTGGCACGGGCGGTGGTGTCCGCGGCGACACGTTGCCCAGCCGGTCTATTTTCTTTGGTGGCCAGGCTGAGGGTCAGGATTACTCATGGCCAGGTGGCCCTTCGGGAGCGATGTTGTCCCCAGGCTGTGCCGCCTCGGGCTGTCGATGTGCTGGGAGGTCCCTGTCGACGCATTCTCTGGTGACAGTGATGCAAGAGGTGGCACACACGGGTAATGCGCAGCGCACGAGTGCGAATGAGGGCTGCAGGGAGGGGCGGGCTGAACACAGAGAGAGCTGCTTTCTCGACAAGCAAAATTGCGCGAGCGAACAGGCCGCTTGACCGAGGAGAGCCTGCATTGGCGCAGATAAGCATTGCCCTTAATGTTACCCATGTGACCCAGGAGGCTCGTCAGCGCCAGCTTGCTTTCCTGGCCAAGCAAGTTAAGGACGCATGGAGGGCTAGAGATCTTGCGCTGGTGGCGCGAATCGCACGGCATACGGCGATGACGGCGGTGGGTGCTGAGAAACGCTTTCACAATGTGCCGACCGACGTGTGCGATGTCGGAGGGATACTTAGGTCGGCCATGGAGGGAGCCTGGGCAGAGCTGCGCGCTCGTGGACATGCCACCGATACTGGATTTGCCGGTCTTTCCAGGCCCAAGACAGGAATACTAAGACCCAGGGTGGAGGGCCGCACGTGAGCGGGACGTGGAGAGGGTGCGGAGGCCTGTACCAATAATGAGGTTTGGCAAACATTGCACGCCGAGGAGCGTCTCCCTTGATCTACGACGGATGCTTTTCTACCATACTCTCTTGAGTGGCCGTGCCAAGCAGTATGAAGATGCGCTGTCTAGCACACTGCCTGACATGTCATCGTTTCACCGCTGGCTGTTTTGGGACCTCAAGATGGTGCGTGGCTTGTGTGAGCTCCCTATGGAATGGTGTCGATCGTGGGCATGCCCTCTCCCCAAGGCAGGCAGGAGCACAGGCATGAAGGCACTGCGCCTGGTTCACCACCTCTGCCATTTCAGCAGAAGCTTTGACGAAGGCTGCTACAGATAGCGAGGATAAGTGCTAGTCCGACCGAGTTCAGACGGATTTGCTGCATGGGGGATGTGGGGGCGGCGACGGCAAGCAGCTGTGACGATTCAATTAGTGACGGGGTGGATGTTGGCCAGGGTAGGACGATATCACTCGACTATCTTCTGTGACCAACGGAATGTGTTTGGCCGTGTCAGTCGCGAAGCATTCGACGATACTGATGCGCTGCATACGGATCCCGACGATGTGTTCATTGGATTTGCTTGCGCTCACCATAGCAGTATCACAGTCGATGCGCAGTATGGGGCGTGCCATCTTGGGCATCTTGGGATCCACGACAAGGTCTTGAAAGGTCTTCAGAGCTCCCCAGGGAAATCAATCAGCACTTTTTCCCGAACCGTGCTTGACCCCTGGCTCCATCCGCACAGCCAGGACCCCGTCAGCCAGGAACTTGTCGATGCACATCCCTTCGACCCTACGGCTGTGGCAAAAAAAATGGGATACACTGCGTTTCTGGAAGGTATGGTACACAAGGTAGTGGCCATGGCGGCGAAGGGGACGGCGGAGAGAGAGGAGCAAACGAGTCGGCAGCTCGATGGGCACATGGGCACCGTAGAAGGAGCGCATAACAATGCGAAGCAATTCAGTGTCCCTGGGCTCGTAAGAGCGGAGGCTCATAATGAATCCATCTCATTCTCGGGCGGACAACGCATCGCACCCGGGGCGTTTGTAACGACAACAGCGTATTTGGGAGCCCCGCACAAGCAGCACTACATGGTTACCATACATCGGAATGCCGCCATCCAACATGTGAAAACTGCGTGGTTCTCTATGGGGGGGCCCCGAATGTCCTCATCTGACTGCGGGTCCTTGTCTTTCGCGCTCGCGTGCAATCTGTGCAAGGCCCTCTAAAATGGAAGCTTTCTGTGCCAATGCTACGGACTTTGCGCTGATCGAATCCCTACCGCTGAGATTTGGGTATGCAGATAATGCATGGAGAGGGGACGCTGAAGACGCTAAGTGCGGATGGATCAGATTCGACAATTGTTGACGGTTATTTTTGGCCACTTCTCAGTTGCGGAGCACCCGACGACGCTGGATGTCCGACTATTCGTATCTGGCAAAGGCGACTACGACGGTAATTCCTTGGCTGCCCAGGTGGTCGCAAATCGTGTATTGATAGGCGTCCTAGGAGGCGGTGGGCTTCTGAGAGAGTTGGCAGGGCACGTCCCACCAGTCCTCTGGGCGACAGGTGGTCGAACGATATACCCTCGATCGAGGGACCCTCCCCACGAATACACTGGTCCCTGACCGAGCCCCAACTAGTCGGGGAGGGCCCTGGACAACAAGTCAAACACACGCTGAGACCCCAAAGACTATGTCCAGCCTCAGGGCGGGCAGGGCGGGAGCCGAAACTATGGCCAAGGAGTATTCAGGTGTGCCATGACAAGGGTGGAGGCGGCTCTTTTAGGCGAAAGCGGGGCTCGTGCAGAAGTTGTCTCAATAAACAAAAACGCATTTACACTTGAACCCCACAACCTAGGAACCAGGCTAGGACATGCATTCGCTCGGAACGTGCCTGAAACCCCAACATGTTCCGAATCGATTTGGAACACGTTGCGTCTGTGTTACTGGGGGGGCAGGCGGGGTAGAACGACAAACCTGAAACTGCGCAAAAGTGACTACGCCAGCATGAACATCCGACACAGCAGCCGAAGGCGGACACGGACCAGCGAGCGGCCCGAGAGCAGAGGGCACCCTCCGACAGATATTCAGACAGCGTGATACCCTCGATCGAGGGACCCACACGAATACAGTGGTGCCTGACCGAGCCTCAACTCGTCGGGGAGGGCCCTGGAAAAATCTAAACATACGTTGAGACCCAGTCCCGCGCAGCATTGGCTGGCATTTGTGCCCTGAACAGCTTGGACCAGAGCCCGGCGCGCATTTCCGGAAGGAAGGGTCGGGGAAATTGACGTGTTGCTCTAATAGTTCTAAATTAACATGCCACATCCATTTTCCCATGTTATATATCATCCGCGTAGCCAGGAGGACAGGGGAAATAAAGAAAAGGGCGCGCGCGCCCTGCTCTCGAGGCTCCTGCAGCAGAATGATACAAT